AAAACATTCAAGTTTATGACCCAACAACCTTCTGTTCACAACCCAATAATTTGTCTATTGAACAAAAAGCCCCCAAAAAACAAAACCCAGGGGACTGTTGGTCCTCATCAAGGAGCATTAGCAAAGGGCAATTTCAAATAAAGCGATAATGAGGAATAAAAGAATAAAGACAGTACAATGCACTGCTCTTTTAAAGCTCTAACGTCCCGTAATGAAGATTAACAGTCTCTAAGGTTTATTTGCTCAGCAAAGAAATGATTAGGCTAGTTTTCAGCCAGAAGCTATAAAATGGGACATTATCTGGTTGTCAGAAATCTAAGCTTTCCAGCTTATTGATTCTTGCCCTGACAGTCTGGACATCTCACAGGTAGGCTTATTGATATATAGGGTTCTTCCAATCCAAACCATAGAAGCCAAGTCTGGGCACTCTGGAGACTGTTTCCTTGTCTGCAAAATAGCGGTACTGTTTATGTTTCCTGTCTTACAGTATTGTAAAGCTCAAATGAGATGGCTTATCTGGGAACATGCTATGAACTGTAAAATCCTTAATGATAATTCACATTTATTTCAAATCAGAAAGCACTTATTAAGCATCAGCTATGTCCCATTTAATGTTTACAAATGGTTTCTTCACGACAACCCTATGAGGTAGGTCCTCCAAACATCGTTACCCCTACTTTTAGATGAGGAAACTGAGGTTTGAGAGGTTAATTGACATGACTATGATCACACCTAGCTATAGTTATCTGAGGTGGAATTTGAACTCAGGTGTCTTGACTCCAAATAAATGTATGCTACCCAGTACACCTCATGATTATACACATTATTTGTTTACATTATTTAAAAAAAATCTTATTATTTAATAACCCATTCAATTCCTACTCTGATGCCACATCACAACATAGAAATAACCCAAGTGTGTTCAAAGCAATTTCAGTGGTGAACAAGCTCTGATAGGCCCCTCTCAGAGAATTGGCCACAAAGTATTGAATTTTCACAACCACAGGAATTCACACAGAGAATCTAAGGTTGGTAGGGGATTTGAGCTGCATTGGTAGAGGAAGTACCTCTTCTTAGGAAGTCCTAGATCCTTGAAGTAAGGATGAAAACAGAGTCATGGATGAACAGAAAGTGAGGTTGATCTGGTTTTGTGAAACCAGAGTCATATCAGGAAGTCCACTGAGGGTTAAGGCTGGTTCTAAAATTTCTTAAAAATGGTTATTTATTGAGTTGCTACTATATGCTAGGCTTTGTGCTGGGCCTGAGGGACATAAGTACAAAAAATGAAAAAAATCCCTGCCTCCACATTTCAGCTGTGGTAACCTCATGCTGTCCCCAGATGTATAAGAGAGAAAGAGATAGAAAGAGGAAGGGAGAAGGAAAGAGAAAGAGAAAGATACAAAAACACATATTTATGCACATATACATACATAAAATGTGTGTATATATTCATAAATGTGTTTATGTATTTCTCTATACATACACATACACACATTACTTTCTGCCAGTTACAATATATGTGCCTTATAGGTAGGGATTGTTCATTTTTTTTGTACTTGTGTCTCTCAGGCTCAGCACAAAGCCTAGCATATAGCAGCAACTCAATAAATAACTTGACTGATTGATGAGGCACAGAGGGAGATACTAAACAAGTCTGAAAGTTGACCGGTTGTCGCTGTTCCCTGTTGTTTATGGAGAAGTATTGGATTCTCTGGGTTTTATCGATGGCTGCTTAAGTAGTTAGTCACCATCTGACCATCCAGTCATGATATACTGGCAATTAAAACCATCCCTGACTGCCCCAGTGAACATGGACAGCATAGCCAGTCAGTGGTACTGATAGAAAGAGAGCCTGGCCGACCTGACTCCTAATACAAAATCCCTGTGTGTGTTTCAGGTAGGAAAGCAAGCCTTTCCATGTCCCTCAGACTGAATCATATAGAAGGACTCACTATTCTGCATATATGTATGGCTGGACTGGGGTCACACAGAAAGGCATTGGTCTCTGTCTTGCTCCAAAAGGACAATCCACATCTACTGGCCAACAGAGAGCAGCAGTGCTATACTCTGAGTGCTTCTAATGAGAGCAGAAAGTTAGAGGCCCATAAGTGACACTGCTCTACCATCTATTCATTGCTCCCTTTTTGCCTCATTTATTAGGGGATATTTTTCCCAGAGGCCTGGTACCATAAGATCTAGGGCATACTCATTTTTCATTTTTTAATACACTGAATACAGCACTATAACATATTCAAAGGCAGAACTAAGAGGATTCATTCCACTCCTCATTTTCTATCTGTGAATGTTTTAAACTATTTACATCCCTGGCATACTCTAGGCATTTTGCAAAGATTGATCTGGCTCTTGGGTATTCTCTTTATGGGGGGGTTGGGGAGAGCCTTGAAACAAAAACTGCTATACCAGAAATATCTCACATGGTTGTGCAGGGGTTGGGTGGAAGAACTATTGGATTTGGAATAAAAACCTGACAGCATGGGCTATGTTTCCCACCCCCCCCCCCCTTCTTTGGATCTTCCTGTGCTGAGCATAGTGTCTGGCACATACTACATGTTCAATAAATACTTAATGACTGACTGACTGACTGATGTAGGTAGGCAGCTTTGGTGTAAAGTAAATTCTCAATAAATGCTCATTGACTGACTCACTCACAAGCACAGATAGGTGACTGGAGGGTAATAAAAAGAGCACCAGATTAGGAATCAATAGACCTGGATTCCAATCCTGGCTCTACCACTAACCGGCTGTGTGCCTTGTAAAAGTCATTGTCACTGTCTAGGCTTCAGTTTCAGCATCAGTAAAATAAGTAAGCCAGTCCTTTGTGGTTCAGCCCAGTTCTATAGTTCCCTGATTTTATAATTTAGGTCTCGGCTCCTTTATTATTTGTGATTTGGAAATAGATCACTCATCCTCTTTGAGCTTTTAGTTTCTTCCTCTGTGAAATGGCAGCATTAAACATTGTTCTGCCTACACATGATATACAGGGTTGTTGAATGAAGAGCAATGAGCATATTGTGCACTTTGTGACACTAACATACTACATAAATTAGGTCTTGCTCTATAAGCAGAACTCACTTTCTTCTTGCCAAGGTAAACAAGGTTTTAAAACAAAAGATATACCAATATTTTCTACTGGCTGGAATAGAGGAAAGCAAGAGAAGTTAATCTTCTACTCACTATATTTTAAAACATAAGCATAATGAAGAAACAGGAAAGGCTTCTTGCAAAAAGTGGGATTTTAGATGAGACAAATCAGGGAAGCCATAAGGTAGAGATAAGGAGGGAGAGAGTTCCAGATATGGAGGACAGTCAGAGAAAATGCCGAGAGAAGGGAGAAAGAGCACCATGTAGATATGGGGGTTGAGAGAGAGAATGAAGAATCAAGGATGACATCTTGGCTTTGAGCCTGAGTGACTGTGAAGATGTCAGGGCATTAGACAGTAATAGGAAATTTAGGAAGAAGGGAATTTTTTTGTGGGGAAAAGATAATGATTTTAGTTTTGGTCATACTAAATTTAAGCTGTTTAATAGATATCCAGTTGGAGATGTCTAAGAGGCAGTTGCGAAAGGGAGTTTGGAAATCTGGAGAAAAGTTAGATATGGTTAAGTAGATCTGATAATAATTGGTATAGAGATGACGATAGAACCAATGTGAGCTGATGAGATCACTAAGGGAAATAATAAACAGAGAGAGAAAGCCCAGGAAGGAGCCTTGGGGGACACCCACCATTAGTGAACATGACCTGAATAAGATCCAGCAAAAAAGATAGAGAGGAAGTGGGAAGACAGGTAGGAGTAGAGAGAGCAATACCCCAAAAACCTTGAGAGAAGACAATATCAAGGAAAAGAGAGTGATTAACAGTGTCAGAGGCTGCACAGAGGACAAGAAGGATGAGGACTGAAGAAAGACCATGAGATCTGTCAATTAAGAGATCATTGGTAACTGCGGAGAGAGCAGTTTCAGTTTAATGATGGAGGTGGAAGCCAGAGGACACTGTGAGAGGGAAGGGAGTGAATGCATCCATTGTAGATGACCTTCTCAAGATGTTTAATCAGGCAAGCAAGGAGAGAAACAGGATGATAGCTAATGAGGATGTATGATCAAATGAGGGATTTTCAGGGATATGGGAGGCATAGATGTGTTTATAGGGTGTAGGGAAGCAGCCCCTAGACAAGAAGAGATTGAAGATTATTGAGAAGGTAAAAAGGATAAATGAGGGGGCATCTTCTGGAGAAGGAAGGATGGAATTGGATACTTTTAAAAGTAATGGGGTTTGCCTTGGTAAGGCGAAAGATCACTTCTTCATCAGAGACAAGGGTAAAGGAGGAGATTGACTGTAAGTCTGATATTCTAAAGACCAGTCAAGCTAAATTTGGACAGGCTCATTACTAGGTGGCTAAGGGGGGAGGATTTCTTTTGGGTCATAGCAAATCTCAAAGACTATCTCTTAAGCCAGGGAGAGGTTGAAGTCCGCTTCAGTGGAAGAAATATCCAAACAACTGATATTATAGATCTTTCAGATATTGAAGTACAGTTTGAAGAAAAAAGTTATAAGGAAAAGTTTGAACACAGGGGAAAAACAAATGCTTGTCTCTATATAAGAATATACTCTCATGGGGTTCTCAGTGTTCCCTTTCTCCATTGTATATGTCCTGATATATAACTGCAATAGTTCAAGGAATCCAGTTGCTGAAATCAGAAGGGAATGAATACTTTTTTGTTTGGATATTCAGTCTTCTTCCTTTGAAAACTCTTCATTCTTTAATGTATGATAAATAGTTAATATGTTTCAGATCTCTGGAGATCAAGTTTTCTTTTTAAAAATTCTGATCTGTCTCTTTCAAAAAACAGGTTTTTAAAAAACGAACAAAATGCCAACCACATGGAATGACTTCACTAGGAGCCCTTATTTGGGTATTTCAATAACTCCCACAGATGATGTACTGTTGCAATCAGAAAATGCAGAGTATTTGCATGAATAGACAACAAGAGAAACATCCAGAAGATAGAGGAGAGGGGTTGAATACATTGTGCCAATGATAGAAAGCAAGCCTACCAGCTGGAGAACAAATAAGGTACCCACATGGCTGGCTCAATGAATAACTTGGTTCTGAATGAGCTGAAAAGCAGCTTAGGCCACCTGAAGCTGGGGGGTGGGGGGTGGGGCGGGGCTAAATCGCAGCTAGGCAGATTCTGTTTTGTGTTTGTTTAGAAGCTGTAAGAATTCCAGAGCTGTGGGCCTCTGCCTAGTGAAATGCAGACTTCCAGCCAAGAGTCTAGCTATCTGGCTCTAGCCCCTTGATCGCAGCAGGTCCTTATGAGATGTGAATTGGGGGAAGGGGTTGGGTCTGCTATCAGTGCATTTTGGATCTTGTTTTTCAGGGATGGTCTTCTATTTGAGTTTGGTGTAGCTAGTGACTGCATGTTGCGAAATTTCAGAGATTCCAAAGAGGCCTATGCCCCACTCTAAAATTATATCCTTCCCTTCCTCTTCCCCTTAATATACTTGATAAGTTTTCATGTCTATAGCTCAAAATTTGTGTTCCTGTTAAGATGCAAATTCTTTTTTTTTTTTGTGGATTCATCATCCATTTATTCCTTAGGGTAAATGGATTTTTTTTCAGATTTAAGAGGGGAAACAAGGGTTGCCTGAGGGTATAGGTCTAGGCTAACAGAGGTGAGAGGGGAAGGATATGGTCACACATCCTTTTTAAATATCCAGACCCTGAGATGGTCTCTTTTTGCTTCCTCAATGACTCTTGGATGAGGTATGACTTCTTTTTTTTAAATTTAAAAAGCTTTATTAAGAATTTGACAATCATCAATATACAAAGGGAAATAAAAATATGATTGCACATTATAATATGCATCTCCACTGTACCACTTGATTTTTTAAGTATAAACAAACATTAACATGATAGTATCAATGCTCTCATTCTTATCTGGGTCTTCTTCTGGACTTTTGTTCTCTTTTATATATTTTCATATGCTTCATTAATGCATTATCAGAATTTAGAGTATTTACAAAATATATTAAAAACAAAGATTTGAGAAAAAAATTACCAGACAGGCCAAAGTAAAATAAAATTCCAGTACCCTTCAGGGACAAGTGTTAAAACTCACCAAATGAAAAATATTGTAGCTGAGTAAAGACTGTTGAGAACTGGTTCTCTTCACATGGCCAAGGCCAGGTGATCTCAACATACTTTCCTTCTCTGGCTCTCTAAAGTCACTTATTTATCCTCATAATTTTGCTAGCTTCTTTAGTATCTTCTTCACCAACTCCTCTGCTTTCTCCTCATCCTTTATCAAAGATTCTCTCAAGGGCTGGTCAATGTACCTTTTTCTCTCACTTAGAAAGTTCATATACTAGCTCAGTTTCAATTATTATTTATATATAAATTATTCCCACATCCACCACTTGAGTCTTGTGATGTGTGACTTCTAAAGAATAATAGTCTTTTCTTCTCTTTTCAATGTGTAAATATTGGATCATCATTTATAGCTACACTGAGACTTGTTTTCCTTTCTTAAGTTTCTTTTGTCTGCTGTATTTGAAAGACACTTCCTAGCTCTGTTTTTTAAAAAGAATATTTATGGGCATATTTTGTCCTTCAGAGTTTGCCCAAGGCTTGTCTGGTCAGAAGACATCCAGTCTTCCATATCTTCTTTCCACATAGACCACTAAGGAAGCTGTTAAAGGAGTCAGCCTTATTCCTTGGTAATACCATGTAATGATCTGAGGATTAAGGAAAGGATTAAACTCTCTTAACATTTTTCAAATATAATATAAATGTTTGACTGTTAAACAGAAACCTGGGAATGGTAGCAGAACTTAAGAATGAATTCAACTAAGTACAGAAATGTATCTAGTGTGTTTTAATTTTTCTAATCCTTGACAGATGTAGCTAATAAAGCATGTGTATCTATTAGCATCTGAAAGAACAACAAATATATTCAGTGCTCACTTTGTGCATGTGGTGGGAGGGGAAGACACGGGAAAGAATTAGCAGACATGACCTAGTCTTCGAGGAGCTAGCAGTGAGGCAGAATGAAAGGCACATGAAATAAATCCATTCAATAATCAATACCATTTATATCTCACTCTAAGGTTTGCAAAGCACCTTACATGTATATTATCTGATTTGATCTTCACAAGTGCCCTGTACTATAAGTGCTATTATTATCTCCACTTACAGATGAGGAAACTGAGGCCCATAGGGGTTAAGTGACTTGTCTGGCATCACTCCACTAGTCAGAAACAGTATGTAACCTCAGGGCTTTTTAATTCCAAGTTCAGTGTTATATATACTATGCCACCTAGTGAGAGTAGATTTAGAAAGTGAGGCATCTGCCTTTACTGCACAAAGCTAAAGGGCATGAAGAAAAAAAAGACATAAAATCATTATATAAGGCACAGTTTTGTATTATAGCCTCAGACACAAAATTAGAGGTAATAATAATTGGTGTTCATATAGAGTTTTAAAATTTGCAAGGAATTTAACATCTATCGTGTCACTCAGACTTCACAGCAAGCATGTAATGTAGGGACATAGGTATTATTGTCCCTAGTTTAAAGTGAAGGAAATTGAGGTTCAGAGAGGTACATTTAGTGAGTCAGCGACTAGCACATCATAGGTTTGTTTTTTAATAAATCCCTGTTGATCAAAGTAGTGTGGTTCTTTGGAGTTAAACTGAGATCAAATTCTGTTTCAGATGCTGACAATGTGACCTTGGCCATCTCACTAACCTAATACTTAGTTTTATTCTATGGAAAATGAAGGAATTCAAATAGATGTTTCTGAGATCTCTTTCAATTCTAGTATCCTGGGCCATGCCAAACTCTGACCTGGCTATGAATCCTGTCTCCTCTTTACTACCTGTCCTATGTTGGCAAAAAGTTTACTTCATCCCTCTGGGCCTTGTTTTTGCATCTATAAAAAGAGAAAGTTGAACTACATGACTTTTTTTTTTTTGCTAGGCAATGGGGTTAAGTGACTTGCCCGGGGTCACACAGTTAGGAAGTATTATGTGTCTGAGGCTGGGTTTGAACTCATGTCCTCCTCAATCCAAGGCCAGTGCTCTATCCACCAAGCCACCTAGCTACCCCAAACTACATGACTTCTGAGGTCCCTTTCAGCATTAAATCTATGACTCCACTGCTTGTCCACTTGCCCCTGGTCACAAAGAGAGCATGTGTCAAAGGCCAGGTGTTGAACCCAGGTCTTCCTGACTGGTTCCAGTACCTGATGCCTATGGCATACTGCAGGATCAATGGTGAATCAATAGGTGGATTTTATGATGGGCTATGACAGAAGACATATGTAGAGATTCTGAAATAGATTGGTAGCATCACCACACAAATTGTTTCCATCACAGAAAAATAAGATAACCTCCAATTTGTAGAACAAATAGCTTCCATTTGCATAATATTTTATGAAACTCTTTTCTAGTCATTGTTTCTTTTGATGTTTACAACCAGCAGGACAGTCATAATTACCTCCACTTTTCAGATGAGGATACTGTGACTTGGCAAAGTTCATCCCACTAGCCAGCGGTGGAGCTGGTATTTCAAAACAAATATTCTGAGTTTAAGTGAAGTTTCATTACCATGATATCATTTGTATCTGACCCAGCAGCCTGGCTTCTAGCATCAGAATGACCCACATATACATAGGCTAGGAATGTGTTTGGCGATAAAATGAAAACTCTATAACTGACAAGATTTTTGCCTACAAGTAGAAACATTTACACTGGGAAAGTTGAAGCTGTTCCAGTTTCAGGAAACACATTTAAAATGATAATTCATAACAGAATGAAAACAAGTTTATTTTTTGCATAGATATTTCAATAAATAGCTCTCTGATTCTTATCAATGCAGATACTCCTAACAATGAAGAAGGCACACTTCTTGTCACCAGTCTGTAAATCTGCAGTAAACTGGGCAACTTCAAATGAATCTCTTGACATTGCTTAGATACCAGCAGAGCACATGGGCTGACCCCTGGCTGTACTTCATTCTCGCTATATGATCAAACCAAGGATCAATCAACCAGAATTGAGGAAGTACCGACTATGTGCTGGGAACTGTGCTAGGTGCTAGGGTATCGATATAAAGACTGAAATAATTCCTGCTTAGAGGAAACTTACATTGGAGTGGGGGATAAAGGTCTGTCTATCTCTCTGTCTGTCTTTTTCTCTCTCTATCTCTATTTGTCTGTCTTCACCTCTTTATCTTTATCTCTGCATTATCTGTCTTTCTATCCATCTGCCTCTCTCTGTATCTCTTGATCTCCATCTATCATCTGTCTCCAATATTTAGCTTCTTTCTGTCTCCATCTTTTTGTCTACATCTCTCCATTAGCCATCATCTATCTTTTATCTTTCTGTTTTCATCTATCTCTATCTCTCCATCATCTATCATCTACCTACCTACTTACTGTCTTCATTTCTTTATTTTATCATCTATCGATCATCTCCCTCTGTCTTTCTCTTTTAACGTATCTTTATTATATAGCTTTCTATTTATATCTTATATCTATTTATCTTTCTATGATCTATTTATCTATAATCTATCTGTATCATTTTGGCTACAACATCATACTGCTGACTCCTATTAAGCTTGTAGTTAGTAACCTTCCCTGCCCCAGACTTTTTCAGACAAATAGCTACCTAAATATAATTCTCCTATCTTATACTTGCAAAGTTAATTTTTTTAACTCCAAGTAAAAAACTTTAACATTTATCTCTAGTCAATTTCACCCTAGATTCATTCCTTTTTTCTGGCCTCTCAAGATCTTAGATCCTGACTATGACACAAAGTAGTGGTATTTAGAAAATGAGGCATCTGCCTTCATTGCACAAAGCTAAAGGGCATAAAGAAAAAAAAAGAGACATAAAATCATCATCTGCTATTGAGGCCTATCTGTCTATATCCTATCTATCTTTCTCTCTGTCTCTCTATCTCTCTTTATCTCTGTCTCCTTATCATCTGTCTTTCTATCTATCTGCCCCTGTCTCTCTATCTCTTGATCTCCATCGATCATCTATTTCCATCTATCTTCCACTATTGGGAAATGGAAATTAATGGGAAATTAAACAGATAAAAAAATAGTCAGCAGTATGATCTAGTGCTTAGCATAGTGCCTACTGCATAGCAGGTTCTTAATAAATGTTTATTGATTAATTGATATGGCAGACAATAAGAGGAAAACAATCTTGGATTGTAGTAAAGAACGAAAGAACAGTTTCCAGGAGTAAGGTGGCAATAATACTATCGCATATCTTGGTCAGATCATCTCTGGAGTATTGTGTTCAGTTCTCAATGATAAAGTTAAAGAAAAGTATCAGTAAGTTTAAGAACACTATAGGATGGCAAAAATGGAGACAAAAATCCTCACTTGAAGAATTTGGAGGAATGTCATACAGAAAGATAAAACTTACTCTCTTTAGTCAAGGGAAATGGATGAAAGTAGTGAAGAGGCAACTTTAGGCTTAAAGTCAGGGAAAAAAATAAAACAACTTCCCTATAACTAGAACAATCCCAAAAGAGAATGGATTGCTTCAGGAGATAGTGAGTTTCCTTTTACTGAAAGTCTTCAAGCAGATGTTGGATGACCACTTGTAGGATATGTTGTAGTCAAGGATTTTTTTTAAGACCCAGATTGGACTATATGGTCACTGAGGACTTTTCCCACACTAAAATTCAGCGATGGACATCGACATTTTGATTCTGACACCTTTACAGTGTTAATGAGCCTATTACCCTGCCCAGTTTCACAAATGCTGCATAACATTGTGAATTAGTATTTTACCACCAACATCAGGACATTCTGCCCTTTGAAACAGTATATGGCTATATGTGTTTCTACAGCTGATAAGACTCCTGGAAAAAAATAACAAATGCAAGAAAACATCTGGAGATGAGGTGCACACAAAGCCAAGCATTCATGTCGATCAAGCCCCTGGATGGCAATTGAGCCTCTGATCCTCCTTTTAACTTGATGTTTTGATGACCTGAAGACATCCAAAGAAGGTATATCCTGCTTTCTGTTCCTGAACCTGGATGATTCCTGTACCAGTCAAATACTTTAAAAATAGTACTGTGCTTCACTAATTTTATCTTATTTAAACATGAAACAGTGAAGTGATACAATTGGGATGCATTCATTATTCATGTGTGTGTCTTTTTTCTGTTCAGAAAGTGCTGTTCCAGGAAAAGAACTGGACCAAATTCAAAAGTTAATGCTGGAGAAGAAACAAGGAAGTTGAAGTAAACAACATTAAGGAAGGGTAAGCAAAGTGACAAATCACAGCAAATAATTGACAATTTATTCCTACCAAGCCAAACAGCACAATTCAATTTGCTAAATTATTTTATTTATCTCTGGGCAGCAATGTGAATGATCTATCTGTTTTGATGAGAACTCAAACACTGCTCAATGGAAAATTGCACTGCTTCCAATACGTCAAATTTAGATACAGTTAAAGAAGATGTGAATTAAATTGGCTTTGAGTGTAGAGCATTAAAAGATGAATTGTCAGCCAGGAATTTTTTTTTCCTTTAGCATAAAAAAATCTTATTTGAACCCGAGATTTCAATGTTTAGCTTAAGAGGAGTCAAACAAATGTGCAGATTAAAATTAAAATTTATTTAATTCTAAATGCTCTAAATAGTTAAGAGGATCAAGATGAGATAAATCTTCTATGTTTTATTTTCACAGTACATATTACACTGTTCTGTTGTAAACTAGTGGTTTTAGAATTAATAATCTACTTAGCACCTCAGTGATCTGAGAAATAATTCAACAACAATTCAATCTAACAGATATTTATTAGTGCCCTACTATGCATATGGCACTTTCAAACACTGAGGATACAATTTTGTTTTTCTTGCCCTGACAGACCTTGTAATTTAGTAAGGGGAGGTCAAATACATTGACAACTATGATAAGTTGAGATCTGATGACACATAGTAGCAGTACAGTACAGTGGCCTGAAAGCTTTAAGGGTGGAGTCTTGAGCTGGTCTTTAAATGAAAGGTAAATTTTGGCTTAGCAAAGGAGGATGAAATAAATCTTATAGGCAGAGAAGAGATTATTAGTGAAACCATGGACATAGGAGTGAGATAGACATTTTTGGGACACAGTAAGAAAACCATATTGGTTGTAATAGATAAGTTACTTTGTGAAATAGTGAGAGATAACAGTGATGTCAATCCAGTTGATAGACCTTGAATGTCAGGATATTAAGTTTTGACTTGGCAAGAAGAAATCATTGTAGGTCCTTAACTGGGGGAGAGACATGAAGAAAGAGGTATTCAAGAACAAATAATCTAGTTGTGGCATGTCAAAGACTTGAACAGACATTACAGGCAGAAAGAGTATCCAGGAGGCCATTTTGGTTATCACTGTGTTGATCAGGACCAATATAGATATTCTGGAAATGAAAGAGAAGGGCTGACTGAGAGAGACATTAGAGAAATGTTAAACTAACAAAATGTGGTATTAACTATTTGAATATCAGTAGTGAAAAAAATGAGCTAATATGTTAAGGAACTATGTAGTGTTATTGACAATAAAGGCTGAGTTTGCAAGAGTAGTCAGTCTGTGATGGAAGATAATGCTGATTCTAATTTTGGATATAATGAGTTTGAGATAATGATGGGATATCTAAACAGATGTCATATAGGGAACCTAGAGTAACATATCAGGAAACTCCTAGCATCAAGTTAATAATGGAAGCCTATATAGATGACTTGAAAATCTTTCAGGAAAAATGCAAAATCATCTAATGGGAACTCCCCCTTGTCACATCCACACAATATGTGTGTCCATAGTTAAAAGCCTTGCATGTGCCAGTAAAACTTTTTATACAGGTATTATTTGATATTATTTCTTTTTTTTAGTGGGACAGAAAATTAGAAACAAACACTACGGGTTTAAAATTCTCAGCCTATAGTGATTTGTTGACTCATCAAAATCTTTGGATGAATTTATTGGGTATTGCCTCCTTTGAGGTTGGATGACTACTTGTTGGAGGTGTTTTAAAAGGGATTCTTGGTCATGGAGGATATGAGGCAATATAATACCCATTTATTAAGTGCCTACTATATGCCAGAAACTATGTAAAATGCTGAGTAAACAAATAAAGAGAAAGACAATCTCTGCCTTGAAGGAATTCACAACATTAAAGGGCAAAGATGATATACACAAGGAAAAGGAAAAGTGGGCATGACTGGAGGGTGGGGGGAAGTACATGAGTTGAAATCAAGCAGAGCAGCTGGTGACAAATGAAGGAGCAAATTGTTCCAGATGGTCTTCGAAGTATTTTCAAATTCTGAGATTATGTGATTCTTCATTATATTCCATTATTTAAAACAACTCTGGGAAACCCAAATCCTCTACAGAATATTCCATGATAGTTTTCATGTATGATATCAAACATTTATTAATGTGCTATGTAAAAACTGTGCTAAGCACCAGGGTCACAGAGAAAGGTAAAAAACAGTCCCTGCTCTTAAGGACCTCACAGTCCAGCGGAGAAGACAACATGAGAACAACTATGTATGAACAATATTATGTGTATATATATATATATATATACACACACACACGTATGTCTATGTATGTATACACACACACATTCATACACATACATGCATACATACGTGTGTGTGTGTGTGTGTGTGTGTGTGTGTGTGTGTGTGTGTGTGTGTGTGTGTGTGTGTAGGATAAGTTGGAAATAATCAGCAGACAGAAGTCACTAGAATTAAAAGGGTTTGTGAAAGGCTGCTTGTAGAAGGTAGAATTTTAGTTGGGACTTAAAGGAAGCCAGGGAAATGAGGAGGCAAAGATTAGGATGCAGAGACTTGCAACTCACATAAATCTAGCTGTGTGGATCTGGTTGTCATGTAACCCATCTTGGTCTCAGTCCTCTCATCTGTAAAATAGGGATAGTAATAGCACCTCCTTCCCAAGACTGTTGTGAGGATTAAATATTTGTAAAGTGCTTAGCACTGTGCCTGGCACAAAGAGGCTGATTAATAAATGCTTCTTTCCTTCCTTCTGACCCAAAATCCAATGTTCTTCCCATTGAACTATGCCACCTTGAACTGTCTCTTATAGAACTATATGCATAGTTACTTGAAAATATTTCGATAGTTTGAATGAGGATTATGACTATGACTTAATAGTACTTTTCCATATATTTAGAAATTGAGAAATTGGATAAATTTGTGGTTTCCATTTTGGGAGGAGGAAAAATGGATAACTAGAAATTACAGTGATTTTTGGTTTCTAGAAAGGCTATTGGTCTTTTTGAGTTATTACCCTACCTTCCTCAGCAAATAAAACTATATCTAAGAGATGGCATGGTGTGGTAGGAAGAGTAATAGATGTGGAGTCAGGAAAAACAGTGTTCAGATACTATCTTCTACATTTATTAGTTGCGTGACCATAGGTAAGTCATTTGCCCGCATCTCTCCAATAGATATAATGATAGTATTTACCTAAAATTGTTGTTGTGAGGATAAATTGATATAACATATAGGAAAACTTCTCAAACCTTAAAGTGTTACATAAATTGCAGCTATCATTATTATTCTCACTCTGTATTGGCTCTAATTATAAAGGTGGGATTATAACTAACCTAACATGCTCCCAGGGTAGTAAAACAATCTACTTTTAAAAAAAAAGCTGAGATTGTGACAGGATCAATTTGTTTGACTGTTTGATCTTCTATACACAAAGAATAGAAACTAAATATTTTTTCTTTTAGGGAAAAAAAGAAAAGATGAAAAGAAATGTTCTATGCCACACCATAATAATCACTATCTTTTTTTGCTTTTAATCTTTGTCATTAAACTTACCACGCTTGACAATATGATGTTGTCATTTGAGGAGGTCTAACAATGTTCTCTGGCAGCAACGGTGAGGCAATGATCTCTAGGAATGGCAGAAGGGGAAACCAGTGCTCTCTTTTTGAACAGCAATGGTGGGTCCAGCTCTGATTTCTGATATCTCCTGGCTTTTGCAATATGGGCCAGAACCTGTGTTTGATGCCTGAGCATCTACAGCCTCCTATCTCCTGCAAGGTAGCAACCAGATCCATAAATAAGAATTCTGTGCCCAGGGCAGGAAAGCACCAGGGAAAGCCAGTGAAGCTGATACAGAGGAGGTCAATACTTTTTTAAAAAATTTGCATCATTTTAAAAATTTTCATAAATATATATGTGCAGATATTAAAATGATACATCATAATTTAATAATTTATTGAAAATTTGTATTGTTTTTTCCTGGCATTGAAATTTTGATGATACATTATTGCATCATGTAGCCATATAGTATTGTATTGTAAACAAATCATTACATAGGAGAAGGGCAGAATCAGGCTGGGGTACAGAAACTGGGATGGGGAGAAGGAAGCATCATCTGGCAGTTTCCTATTTAAACTGACTATTCTTTTGCTAAACTGTCTTCTGTTTTTGGCGCTTTAGGATGACAATACCTTCTAAGTTTGGCTGCTGCCGTTTAGTCAATTAGTCCTGTCTGACTCTGTGACTCCATTTGGGGTTTTCTTGGCAAAGATGCTGGAGTGGTTTCCCATTTCCTTGTTCAGCTCATTTTACAGATGGGGAAAATGAAGCAAACAGGGTTAAGTGACTTGCTCAGGTACACTAAGCTAATTAAGCATCTTAGGCTTCATTTGAAATCAGGTCGTCCTGATTCTAGGCCCAGTGCTCTACCCACTGCACTGCCTAGCTGCCCTGCCTAACTTGGGCACTCTGGTACAAAGCCCTAGTACTGTTAAATGTGACTGTGGTAGGGATTATGGAATTTTTACCTTGGTGGCTTCATTGTCTAGCACAAAAGTTCCCAAACTTATTTGGTCTACCATGCCCTTTTCAAAAAAATATTCTGTTCTCCCCTGGTAATCTACTTTCTTTAATTGTTTTTTTTTTTAATTTGCATCATTTAAAAATTTTTCATAAATATATATATGTGCATATATTAAAATGATACATCATAAATTTAATAATTTATTGAAAATTTGTGGTGTTTTTTCCTGGCATTGAAATTTTGATGATACTATATTTCATCATATAGCCATATAGTATCATATTGTAAACAAGTCATCATAAGCACATGTTCCTGCTGATGGATGCTGGACTTGCTGTCAAAGGGCAACATGCTCACATGCCAACACTTATTTGTTAAGACCTGTCAGCAGACTTGACCACTGATTGGTTATAACTTGCTTTTTTTTTTTTTTGGAAAATAATGTAATCACTA